TAAGAAAAGAGAGGTGTAAGAAGGGGAGGGGGAATAAGAAGAGGGGGAGGGGGGAGTAAGAAAGGGGGGTAAGAAGAGTGGGAGGGGGAGTAAGAAGGGGGGAAGGGGAAAAAAAGTTCTTTATTTGAAATTTAAAGGACCACTCTAGGCACCCAGACCACTTCAGCTTTATGAAGTGGTCTGGGTGCCAGGTACCTCTAGGATTAACCCTTTTTTTCTAAGCTTATACTGAGTTAATCAGCCTCCAGAGCCTCAGTAGCTGTCTCATTGGCAACCCGCTAAACATCTTTCTCACTGTAATCACAGTGAGAACGCATGGCGTCCATAGAGGAAAGCATTGTAAAATGCTTTCCTATCTGTTTTTCCAGCTGAATCTTGCGTCGCGCATTCAGCCCGATATTTACGTGTGAGCAGGAGGGAGAGGAGGAGTACAGCTCCCCACCCGGCGCTGGAGGAAGGTAAGTGTTTAACCCCTTCCTCTCTCCAGAGCCTGGCAGGAGGGGGTCCCTGAGGGTGGGGGCACCCTCAGGGCACTATAGTGCCAGGAAAACGAGTATGTTTTCCTGGCACTATAGTGGTCCTTTAAGTTTTTTTTCCCTGAAATTTCCTTCTTAAAATGAGGTGCGTGTTATACGCCGGTGCGTGTTATACGCCGATAAATACGGTAAATAAACTTTATAAAAGAAAATATCGAAAATAGTCCAAAAAGATTTTAGAACTTGCACTGTGACCTCTTATAAGGTGCTTTTGGTGATGGGGTCTCTTCTCTGTTTATAGTAGTTCAGTTGGTCTCGTGATATGGAAGACACAAGATAAGAGACCAATCGTATAGAGTGTAAGGGTCAATATATGTGAGATAAAGATATAAATATCCCACTCACATTTAAATGAGCTATAGCCAGCTCAGGTATAACAGGCGTACAGCGGAACAATCCCTGCTTATGGGATATATGGATGATTGTCCTCCGGAGGGAATGGTGTCCAACTCTCTGGAAAAGGGATATATAAAAACAACTAATAGTGCTCACTGTTTAACACGGTGTGAAAGTTGTTTAAATAAATATGTACTTACAAGTGTAGTGCAGGCCAACTGCACTATGGTAACAGCGTTGGTGGTATGATCCCCACCTCGGATAGGCTTGTAAGCACGTGGTAAAATCAATTAGATGCCAGATGAAAATAAATAAAATAGTATGTAACAAGATAGTTGGAACAGATAGTAACCAAAAAAATCTTCTTTAATTATATAAAATACACAATTAATAAAACCATTTACGCGTTTCGCCACTAGGGCTTTTTCAAAATGGGATAACGCACAAAAGTGTGACAAACTCCCCTTTTCAAGTGAGTTTGCCATGAGTTCCTGGAGAAGCCTGCTTGCCAGCCTCCTTCCCACACACTATGGACCTTGTAAAATGTGATAAAAGTCTCTGTTCGTGTATTTGGACTATATGGTTTGGGAACCGAACAGCCACTCGAACCGGAGACCCCCTGGAGCTTGTTAAGCCTAATTGCTACTTTGTAACAATTTCCACCTCAGTGTTCTAAGAGTTCGTCTGGGTGGCCGCATGAATCTCATGGAACGGAAAACGGACACAGAAACTCCCAAACACTGCTGGTTTTATAACACTTAGTAGGACACTGTTTTGTGGAAACGTTCCCACGAAAAAGGAGAACAAGTACCAGGGTAAGACTATTGACTATGTTCGGTAGTTTGTTCATTTTTAAACTACTGAACTAGACCGACCGCAAGCCATGAATCTCTGGAACTGTTTTGTGCATGGGACCATGCGTGCGGTCGGTCAAATAAATGACTTCCAGGAAATTCCTGAACCCCTGAACTGATCTGAGTGATTATTGGATATGTTGGTCACCCAGATCAGGGCTATCAGGGGATGTAACTTTTGTGGGGTATTTATGTATTTTTAGGGTACTTTTGGGGTGTTTGGGAAAAAGTGTTTTTTCTGTGCTTGGAGATAATTGGATTAGATTAGTACAGTTTGTGATCCAATTATCTCCCAGGCACAGAAAAGGGATTATCTGATTATGTATGGGAGTGTCCTGGATCTGAGAGCCAATGTAATTGTGTATTTATTTCTACTGATGTTTACTCTCAGGTCCAGAGGGAGTGCCCCTTGCATGGGGACATGCATATAAGGGCAGTTGTGGCTGCCATTAAAGTATTCCATCTTGTATTTCCAGCACTATGTGTTGTCTGGTTACTGGGAGGGGAAAGGGCCATTCTTTAATCACTGTTCCGGTGTGGAGGATTCGATTGGGAAAGTCCTTGTAAGGACTAGAGCTCCCAGGACTAAGTGTCGTCCAGTGCCTGGGGGTTTCTAGAGCGAATTCCCCATTCGGCTCCAGGAGAGAGCGGTTCCAGGGCCCCAGGCAAGCCACGGTGACTGTGGGCAGAAGTGCTGCAGTTTGTCCCCTGTTCCAGCTAGGAAGCGGTCCTTGGCGGAGGTACCCAGCCGGGTTACAGGGAGCTCCGTTACATACAGCTTCCATGATGTTTTGTCATCCTGAAGGCATTCTAAAAGCATGCAAAGTATTATGGGAGTTGTAGTTCTACAACATCTGGCGAATATTTTGGATATAGTCTGAAATATATGCTTAGAAGCAGAAAAGTATTTTTTGTTACATACAGTAGGTGTTACAAATATAATTTAAAAACATATGTCCTTGTTTGTAAGCAGCCAGTTAACCCTCATAGGAATGACGCTTTATTAAATAGCTACCAGAATGTAAACATAATGCCTGTATAGGAGTATAACAGCCACATAAAGTGGCTACAGTTAAACAATGGATCTATACAATACTATTGTCGTTTGTAATTTGTAGTGTGTTCAGAACTCTCCCTTTCTCATTTCCACTTCCTTGAAGATAGAATGTAGTCATTTATTTTATTTAACAGTTTTTTATATAACGATCTTATCCAGAGAGCATAACAATTAATGCAAAAACAACATTTGTATTTCTTGAAACAGGGGATAAATAATTAGACACTATGAAACAAACAGAGAAGGGAAACAAGCTAGAGAGCATGAAGTTTGAAACAAACAAAAAAAAAAGTGAGTGTAGAGAGTTGATAAAAGAGAGGTGCCACTTACAGTTCCTCTACAGAGATACAGGGAGACAAAAAGGGTAAAAAAAAAAAAAAAAAAATATCTCTGCAGGGTGAAAAAACAGCATTGAAGCAAAGGGCAAGGTAAGTTGGGCTTTAAGGGGTTTGTTTTTTTTGTTTTGTTTTTCCTAAAAAATATCACGAGTTAACATTGGCATTCAAGTTCTTGGGAGGGGAAAGGAATTAAAGCTAAAAATAATGGAGTTTAGGCATTGCAATAAGTTGATATCTAAGTTTCAAAATGTAGGCCAACACAGAAAAGTAGGAAAAACATAGCATGACCTAAATTTTATAACACTTTAAACTCAGAAATAACGCAGCAAACTACATAAATCCAATTCTGGTTTTTATTAGATTAAAATTTAATTCACTACAGTTGGTAACATTTCAGTAACTTTAAAACTCCTAGAGCTATATTTATAAATGTATTTATAAGATTGATCCCATTTCATAAGCAATTCAGTCCAAAGTGAAAAAAGTATGTGTGCTATAGTTCTTTATATTAAAGGCAAAAATAAAGTTAAAGAAAAAACAACTGTTGTGTGTCATAATTGATTTTAAATATTGATGACTTTTTTTTACATAGTTTGCAGTCAGAACATTTTAGTTTGTGAGATAATATATTAAAGGACCACTCTAGGCACCCAGACCACTTCAGCTTAATGAAGTGGTCTGGGTGCCAGGTCCTTCTAGGGTTAACCCATTTTGTCATAATTATAGCAGTTTCAGAGAAACTGCTATAATTATGAATGATTAAACTTATACTAAACCTCTGGTAAGCAGCCGTGACGCCACTGAAACGCGTGCTTCTCACTGTGATTTTCACAGTGAGGAACGCACGCTCCAGCATCCATAGGAAAGCATTGTAAATGCTCTATGTGACGACTGAATACTTGGCAGCGCAGCTCTGTACTTGTGATGCGCATTCAGCGGCCGAGGCGCTAACGGTAGGAGAGAGGAGGAGGAACGGAGGAGGAGAGAAGGAGGAGAGCTCCCCGCCCAGCGCTGGAAAAAGGTACGTTTTTACCCCTTTCCCCTTCCAGAGCCGGGCGGGAGGGGGTCCCTGAGGGTGGGGGCACCCTCAGGGCACTATAGTGCCAGGAAAACAAGTATGTTTTCCTGGCACTATAGTGGTCCTTTAAGTAAATTATCAAGCTCTACAATTGACTTGCAACTCTTTAAATAAGAAGATTTCAGCAGCTTTTGCATAGTGTATTTTTTATTTGATTACTATTACGGTAATTATTTTCAGGGAAAGCTTGTAACATTGTAAAATATAGTAAGCAAATATTGCAGATGAGCTAAAATGTTCAGATGCTTGTTGCTCAAAACATTTGATTTGTTTTATTTTGTCAACAAAAATGTATTGGAAATAAACAAAACATTTAACTGCACTATCTCCATATTAATAATTTTAAAAAATGTGTTGTCACTAGTACGTTGGTTACAGGTGTCACCAGGGGCGGACTGAGAACCCTCAGGGCCCCCGGGCAAAATAATTCAAGGGCCCCCTTACAGGCCCTACCCATGCTCCGCAACAAGCGCCACCCTTGTCCCGCCTCCAGCCACACCCTACACAATCTTTATACACAAGGAACAAAAGTGCAATAATCCCTTCGAGGCCCCAGTAGAGACTACAATTGAGGGCTAATGGGCCATGGAGGTGGGTCTTCCTAGCAGAGGATATCTCAGTGTCCTTTAGAGAGTGTGTTAGAAAGAATCCCCTCCAGGCCCCATTAGAGACTACAATGGAGGCTAATAGGCTTGGAAGGGGGTCTTTCTAACAGAGGCCATCTCAGCATCCATTAGATAGTCTCTGCTGGAAACAGTCGCCTCCAGGCCCCAGTAGAGACTACAGTGGAGTCTAATGGGGCCTGGAGGGGGGTCTGTCCAACACTCTGGTTCCAATTCACAATATAGCAACACAACATAGCTCGCTGATACCTAGGCCAAGTTGGCTCTCCTCCTCCTAATTACTGTGCCGGCTGGCAGGCTGTGGGCTTGCTGGAAGGCTGTGGGCTTGCTGGCTGCGGCTGGAAGGCTGTGGGCTTGCTGGCTGCGGCTGGCAGGCTGTTGGCTCGTTGGCTACTGCCGGCAGGCTGTGGGCTTGCTGGCTGCGGCTGGAAGGCTGTGGGCTTGCTGGCTATGACTGGCAGGCTGTTGGTTTGCTGGCTGTAAGCCTGTGGCTTGCTGTAGGCCTGTGGGCTGGCTACTGGCCTGTGGCTGGCCTGTGGGCTGACTGGCTACTGGCGCACTTGTAGATTATTTAAAGAAATAATCCATGCACAATAACCACTACTATTCCCCTGTGTAGTGGTTATGGTGCCAGGAGGGCCGGGACCCTCTCCCAGAGTAAGTAGTGAAACCGTTTAAGAACAGTTTGACAACTTACCTGGGGTCTGCTGGGATATGGGGCTGTAGTAGGGTATAGGAGCAGTGGTGCAATGTGTGAGGGGTGCAGTGTATGTGTGGGGGGTGTAGTGTGTGAATGTGTAGGGTGTGTGGGGCAATGTGTGTATGAGGGGGCTGTGTATGTGTGTGGCAATGTTAGTATGGGGGTCTGTGTATGTGTGTGGCAATGTTAGTATGGGGGTCTGTGTGTGTATGGGTGGGCAGTGTATGTGTGTGTGTGACGCAATGTGTGTAAATGTGTATGGTGTGTGTGGGGCCAGTGTGTGTGTGTGGGGGGCAGTGTGTGAATGAGTATGGTGTGTGTGTGGGGGAAGTGTGTGAATGTGTATGGTGTGTGTGGGGGCAGTGTGTTCATGGGGCTAGAGTTCACCAGGAATCCCTGGTGGTCACAGTGTTGAGAGTGAACTCTAGCCTGTAGCCCCAGGGCTAGAGTTGACTCTCGCGAGAGCCGGAGCTGAGCTCCCGGATCCTCTCTTCCTCCCTCCCCTGCTGGCTGCCCGCACGGTGCCTGCGGACCGGGGAGAGAGAGATCGTCCGGCAGGGGAGGGGGGGCAGTTGCCCCGTTGCCTTTTTGTCTCCCTCCAGTCACTCTGTATGTTTCTTTCTCCCCCTCACTGCTCCTCTGTGTCCATGTCTCCCCTCTCCTTCCCAGTCTCTCTTACCCCTCTGCCTCTTTCTCCCCCTCCCCTTGTGTGTCTCTCTCCTTTCTCCCTGTGTCTCTCTTCCACTGTCTCTTTCTCCCCCCTTTCCCTGTGTCTCTCTCTCCCCCACATCTCTCTTCCTCTCTGTCTCTTTCTCCCCCCTCCACCATCTCTCTATTCCCCCCTCTTTCTCCCGCTGTGTCCCATTGTTCCCCCCTCTGTCTCTATCTCCTCCCCCGGTGTCTCTCTATTCTCCCACTGTCTCTTTCTTCCCTCTTCCCCTGCGTCTATCTATTCCCCCTCTCTGTTTTATTTCCCCCCCTCCCATTTACAGAGGGGGCCAGCCGCGTTCCACGCTGGAGTCGCCGGGGCCGGGTGACAGCCTCACAGGACCGGCGACACTCCTGTCCTGTCACTAATGCTGAGGACGGAAGGAGGGAGGAGCATGTCTCTCTCTCATGCTCCTTTGGGGTTCCCATAATTCCCAGCACAGCATACTGTGCATTCTGTGCTGGGAATTGTGGGAACCGCAAGGGAGCATGAAAGAGAGTCATGCTCCTCCCTCCTTCCGTCCTCAGCATTCCGTGGGCAGGACCGGCCACCCGGTGGCACCTACTTGCTTAGCCCCCAGATGCCGCGGCCCCGGTGGGCCAATCCGGCCCTGCCGCCGGGCCCCCTAATGGCAGCCCTGGCGGCGGGCCTCCCGGCCGAGCCCTTGGACCATGTCCGAAGTGCCCGACCGGTCAGTCCGCCCCTGGGTGTCACATATGCTTACTGGAAAAAAAATAATCTTTATCAAGATTTAGATTAATGCAGGGAATTATATTTTTACTTGTAAAAACAGGCATTAAATTAAACTAGGACAAACTGCAGCAGAGTTAGTCATAAAGTTTTTGGAAAACAAACGTATACTATAATTCTGTCAGGGTTTCTTTGCTGTTTTAAACAGCAACCCTTCCTTTCTCTGTGTCTGAGCTTTCAGTTGATTTTAACAATTAGCTCCTTCATTAATGTAGCCACGGTTACTCACCTGATTGTAGTAACCAGTCCTGCTGCTAATCAGTGCAGCCTATTTAAGCAGCAAGTTCCAGTACAAATTTGCCCTTGCGTGGTTTCCTGTGTCCCAGAAGACTGCCTGTTTCCTGTGTGTTCCTGGTTCCTGACTTCTGGCGTTGTTCCCGACTCTGCTGCTCTCCGTTCTCCTGATCCTGGCTCATCTCACTACCCACTTTGGTGCCTGACCCCTGCTTCCCTCCTGGACTTTGCTTTTGGTTTATGTCATTATTTGCTAATGACACAATGACAGTTCTGTCTCTGTCTGGTTTCTGGTCCCTAACAATTTCCTTTTATAACCACATATTCTTACTGCAGCTCCACCTACTGGCTGGCAAACACACTTATTATATATGGCAAATTATGATGCTTTTACAATAACCCTTCTTAGCAGCATGCCCCTTGTTCATTACCTCTGTACTTCTACTGTGCAATACTAAAGGTTAATAAACCTTTTTTTTGTCAAGTCATATCAAGTCCTATGTCTAAAATAAGTTGTATCCAGATTACTTCCTAGCATACTTGTGTTACTACTGTTCTCTGCTTCATTTGATTAGACCTGCAGAGGGTTTCTTCTCAATATTGAGAAGAACAATTTGTAGGATTGTGATCTGTTGTGCCTCCATCCTAATCACCATCTATGCTTCCAGCTAAGTTTGGATTTGAGATTATTAGATGTTGTAACTTGATCAGCCACAACATTAAAAGTACTGACAGGTGAAGTGTGGGGAATGAAGACCACATACACCACTTCATGGCAATGGTGTTCCCTGATGGCAGTGGCCTTCTTCAGCAGGATAATGCACCATGCCACACTTTAAAATGTGTAAAGAAATGGTTTGAGGAACATGACAAAGAGTTCAAGGTGTTGCATTTTCCTCCAAAATTCCCCAAATCTCAGTATAATTGAGCATCTGTGGGGTGTGCTGGAACAACATATCCACTCCATGGAGGCTCAACCTTGCAATTTACAGGACTTGTTGCTAATGCCTTGGTGCCAGGTATACAGATATCACAGGACACATTCAGAGGTTTTGTACCTTGAAGAATCAGAGCTGTTTTTTGGCAGCATTAGAGGAATCTACACAATATTAGGCAGATGGTTTTAATGTTGTGGCTGCTCTGTGTAATTTAGATTGTTCTTTCCAAGTATTTCATCACTTTTATTACAGTACTTCAGTTATCAGAGTACTGCAGTGTTGTTATTGTATTATCATCACAGGATTCTCTATTCCACAGTCTTTTTGGTAACCCGAGTTACCAAACTATGCATAGTTCAATATTACATAATAATCATTCTAGATCTTCAGTGATCTTCTACCTCTTCTACTACATATCTCCTATAATTTACTCTTATATAGTACAAATAACATCATACTTAGGCAACTATCTAAACTCCAGAGTCCCACATATATATTGATTTTGATGTTGTGTGGTGTGTTGGGTAATCCTATTTTGTTTTGCTGTAATATTTGAAGTATATTGAACGAACCGTAGACGCAATGAGAGTGTTTTATGGCCAGATTTCCCATTACTCTTATTAAACACTTGCCTGCAGACACCTGCCTGATGGGGTGTCTTCTCTGTCTGTTTAAAGAAACAACCCTGTTACGAACGCTGGTATTTCAGATACCCGTTCGCTTTTGGTTCCTCCCGAACTACTAGAGGTTGAGTGATTATAGCTCGCAGTTCGGGTGTTGATTCGAACATTTTCCAAAAGGAAATGCAGTAGCCAAGTGAATTCTCCCAGCAATCAGACGTATACCCAAACATCAGCCTAAACTAGATGAAGGGTACAACAAGAATGAATTTATTCAGGCCCACTGGCCGGTTTATTTGCAAGTCTCCATAAAAGGGGTTTACTGACATATTCCAGGGGCATTCCCCACTGGACCTGAGAGGGGACAGTGGCAAAGTACACACTGTAATTACATTGGCTCTCAGGTCCAGGACACTCCCACACAAAACAGGATATTAATTGAGAAATGCTTTCCTATGGGCTGTTTGAACGTGCGTGCGGCTCTTGACGCGCATGCGCATTCCGCTCTACTCGGGAGCTGACGTCGGCAGGGGAGGAGAGGTCACTAGCGCCAAGGGAGCCCGGTGCTGGATTCAAGTAAGTAGCTAAAAGGGTTTTAACCCCTTCAGCGCCAAAGCAGGGGGACCCTGAGGGTGGGGGGTCCTAAGGATGATATAGTGTCAACAAAACAAGTTTGTTTTCCTGACACTATAGTGATCATTTAATAATGTGCTGTCTATGCATACTGAAACGTAAAATACATTTAAATATTATTTCCCAGGACATCCATATTACTCAGATTCTGGAGGTGTTTGTTTTTGCAAAACGCTTGGTAGTGATAGTGCTAATATCCAACATATATATTTTGAAATTTTTTCATCCCCTGTTACTTCATTGCTTCCTTACCTTTTTTCCTCTCCCGCCTTAACAGTTTGAAAATCACTGCCTACACCATTGGTTTCTCCATTTCAATATATTTCATGTAACAAACATATAGCTGTATAGTGTCACATGTTAATATGAAGCACAATGTAAAATTGTTTACATTTGCAAAACAAAAGAAATTGAATAAAAAAAAAAAAAACTTCCTTTAACTTTTCTTTATTTTGTAATTAAAAAAAAAAAAATATGTCGGCCTTTGAGTGACAGAGGAATAAAAAACATTGCTAATATATTGCTCATCACTTTGGCACATAAATTGAGAAAATCAATCACTTTATTTAAAATGTTTACATTTAAACTCTTTGTGTCTGACATTGCCTGAGCATTTAGTTCATATCTCAAATCCTCTCTTAAGCTCTAGAAGTAAGTTTGGAATAACGCCATCCATATATTAAATATTCCAATTTTGCCTAACCCCCTCAATGCATTTCCTTGTTTCGGCTAAGTATTCACTAGAAATTTAAATTGTGTTTTTACTTTGACTATTTTACTTTGTTATAAATGGAA